TCAAAAAAAACAAAAGGAAACTCCGATCCATTTCATACTGTCCTTCCATAAAAAAGCTTGCAAGATTCAATGAGCAACCAAGGTAACATGAATGACACACAAAGTATTTATGATCGAAGTAACGATCTCAAGGCGTTTGATGAAGAGAAAACCGGGGTAAAGGGGGTGGTAGCTAGATGGAGGAATAGAAAAGGTTCCTAGCATATTTGTTAGACCACTCGAGGTTCGCTCTAAGGATTTAGGTATAAACGCAAAAAATATAAGTGTACCTGTTATAGATTTTGCTCAAGTTGGTGAAAGTGATTATCAAACTGCTAAGATTGTAAAAGAAATCATTTCAGCATCTCATAAATGGGGATTTTTTTCAAGTGGTAAATCATTGAAATTGTTGGAAAAGATGATCGAAGGAGTTCGAATATTTCATGAGCTAGATGCGAAGGCTAACAAGCAAATCTATAGCCGAGATTTCTTCTCAAAGAATGTCACTTTTCTTTCCAACCATGACTTGTATCATTCAAAAGCTGCTAATTGGAGGGATACTTTCTATTTCAATGCTCTAACAGGTGAAGTTGATCCTCAAGAGCTGCCTCAAATATGCAAGTGAGTTACTTTGTCTTTTAAATTCTTATTAATTAAAATATGTAGTATCTACTTTATGTTCTAGTACTAATTCATGTTGCTCTTTGTATTTAAAGATTCACTTGATTAAAGGTATTAAAAAGCAATTATTTTTGCAGGGATGTGACACTAGAGTATGTCGACCATATGGTTAAGTTAGTTAACAACATACTTATGTTGTTATCGATGGGTCTTGGACTCAGACCAAAACATCTTGAAGAACTCGATATTAGCAAAGGGTGGTCCTTAGCTTGCCACTACTATCCGACTTGTCCAGAGCCCCAATTGACCCTAGGAACTGTTGGAACAAAGTAGTAGTGTGTGTGAATTGTGTGAATTTTGGGAAAACACCAAAGTCCCACATTGATGAGAAATAGAAGTTTCACTCTCTTTATAATATTGAGAGTGAGCTAAAAGGGTGTGGCCCTTGGGCTACCCACATTTTGTGGGGAGGGAAGACTTACCTCTAAGTCAATTTATCACACGCGCACCAAGTTGGATCGGGTTGGGGTTATTAAACACATTAATTTTTGCTAACCGTTTTAAACAGGCGATTAATGTTCGGTTTCAAAATACTTAATGTGTCGTTACACAGTTAATTCCTTGATTAACGTTGCTGATTTTTTGCCTTCCCGTTGCAACGTTATACACGTTTAATGCCTAAACGTTGCTGATCTTTTGCCTTGTTTTTTGCTTAACGATTACTTGGTTTTGCTTATAAAAGTATCATCTCTGCCACGGTTTAAAATGATTTAGCAACAGCAGAAAACATTTTACACATAAAATATTTCCTTTTCCTCTAAAGGTTCGAGCAGTTTTCATTATTGTTTTCCGGTGTTTTGTTGCCCGGTGGTTCAATGCAAACCCACGGTACCTTATCGTTTTGAGAGACTGTTTTATCTTGGGGGACATCCGATTTGGTACGAGCTACTTGCACAAATTCGAGGCAGTACCGTGGATGTTCTAAAGAGAACGACATAGTCCACGACTCAGTCTCATTCCCGGTAACATTGTTCTTATTGTTTTATTTCTGCAACGTCGTTTATAACAGGAACTAGTGGACATGCTGATATTACATTCATCACGGTACTTTTACAAGATCAAGTTGGGGGCCTCCAAGTTCTTCTTGAAAACCAATGGGTTAATGATGAACTCACTGGCGCCTTGATTGTTAACATTGGAGACGCACTTCAGGTATCATTCCTATTTTCTTATTTTAATTGTAAGTTCTAAGTTTGGAATACATGGGTGAATAATTTTTAGCTTGTTCGACATTATTATAACATAGTACATGAACTAAACTAGCTCTAATACTTTATTACTTCAATTTGTATTCAGATTATATCTAATGGCCTATTGAAAAGTGTCTACCATAGATCAACCGTGAACAATGTTGTACCAAGGATTTCCGTTCCATTTTTTGTTCAGGGTCTTTTCTCATCTAAGAAGATATATGGTCCAATCAAAGTGTTAACATTGGAAAAAAAATCCGCCTTTTTATTGTGAATTCTCAAGTGAAGAAAACCTCACACGCCTTTTCTCCAAAGCCCTAGATGATATTGGAATTCATCATTTCAAACTACGTTCATTGTCCTGAAGATGGAAGGTAAATTTGATTAAAGATGGTACAAGTTACAACCACAGCTAAACAACAATATTGTTTGGAGTACCATCATAATTTGTACTAGTTAAAGATGACCTATATGTAGCATTCAAGATCCGGATTGTAAGCGTTATTTATGTTGTGATTTCTATAGGCCAAAGTTTGGAAAGGCTCTTATAATAAATTATTACAGAGTAGCTATTGTAACGAAGTATTTTCTATTTCATATAATGATTTCAGCATACTTTTATTTTACAGCTTTGCATTGTATGGAAAATTGAAAATTCAAAATGTTACTTATGTATCGTATTTTTTTTGTTCCTCTTTATTTTCCTATATATTGAACTAAGAAATAGTCGTTATTAGAATATTATTTTCACATATTCCATAATGTTACATAATACTAATTAACATGAGATTCATGAATGATAAATGTCCTGACCTTGTTTAAGTTTTGAATCTCATTAAGTTGGGGGATGGGGGGGAGGGTTCAATCATTGAGATTTGCCCACCTGAGATGAGATAGGTGGTCAGGTTGGATATAATGCAATTTTTTGTATAATTAAACTACGAGTAGTAATTAATTAATAGGTCAACTCTTCACCAAATTCAATAATAATCTAATAAGGTCAATCATGTGACCAACATTATATCAAAGCTTTTCCTTAAAAAAAACACAAATATGTAGGAAATTGTGTAAGTTAATAGGCTTAATACTCTCTTCTTCATACTCTTTCTTAATTGGTGAGTTAAAATTTTGTAACAAATTAATTCTTAAACACCAAAATACAAAACATCAAAAGCTAATACACCTAACTATTTTTTTAACCATTACCATTTTATTTTATTTTTGAGTCTTCTTAATTTTTCCTTTTACCTTAATAAAGATAAAGTCATGAAGCTCTTTCAATTCATAGATATTTGAAGTGGCCTACAAGTAAATTTAGCACTAGATATATGGTGGAAGTAACTATCAGACACTTTAATTACCTCTTTAAATATAAAAAAAATGAATAAATAAATAAATAAAAATAAAAAATAAAAAATAAAAAGAAAGAGTAAAAGTACCTTAATTATTTTACATTTTGCACGCTTGAAGTAACATTAGTTCAATCAAAGAGTTCACATCGGAAGAATATCTACCAATTTATAAGGAATTCACAATTTCTCAGGTTTCTTGATTAGCTTGACAGATTTATGTGTAACAGGGCAACTTGGAGATCCACTAAGGCCTGAAATTAGGAATAGCCCACAAAATTACAGTATGTTCATCCATAATGTCATATTTGATTATTGGATAAGGCCCATCCAAATTTTAATCTTCCGTGGTTGTAAACCAATAAGTCTTAGCTACACCCTGATGCAGCTAAGATAGATGTACCACGGCCTATAAAATGAACATGTAGTAAAAAAATATGAACACGTAAAAAAAATACACATTTAGTAATAAAAAATGAACACGTAAAAAAAATGAAAATTTAGTATTAAAAAGTGAATACGTTTTAAAAAATGATCATATAGTGAGCATGATTATCATATAATCATAGAATTACTAGACCACGATCTTAAAAATGAACATTAAGTAAAAAAAATATTATGAACATGTTAAAAAAAATGAACATTTAGTAACAAAAAATGAACAAGTAAAAAAAATAAACATTTAGTATATTAAAAATGAACATTTATCATACAATCATAGAATAGCTGGACCATATACATAATAAAATGAACATTCCATAAAATATATGAACTATAAAAAAAATGAATATGTAAAAAACTGAACATGTAAACAAATGTTATGAACATTTAGCATATTAAAAATGAACATGATTTTCATGTATTCATACAGGTTCAAATTCCCGAAAATAAAGATAAAATAAATCGCTAAAATATGTTCATAGTTTCTGTACTAAATGTTCATTTTGTACTACATGTTCATTTTTAAAGTACTACGTGCTTATTTTTTTTACGGAAATTATACACAAGTTCGATTGTAATTATTTTAAATCAAAAACTTTAAATATCCACCCTAAATCTTATATTGGTTCATCATGGAGAAAATAATTATTAATCTATAAAATGATAGATTATGAATCACAAATGCAAAAATTGATAGAAATCAACAATTTTATAACATTCACTTATTTTTTAACCAAAAAAAAAATCAAAATTCAAAATTACCTCATAATTTACGATCGCGATGAAGATGATGACGATGGAGGAAGCTACAATGGTGACGAATTGGAGAATGCTCGAAGTAGAAGGACAAAAAAGAATAATGATTGAAGGAAGTGAGGTATTTACATGTTCATTTTTTATATAGGTAATAAAAGAGAGAGAAAGTTTCAAAATGAGAAGAAAACAGAGGAGAGAGAAAATTAATAGAAGTAAGAAAAGAGAAGAGAGAAGTAGTTAAGAAATAAGGAAAGAAAAAAAAAACGTATGTTCATATATATTCAGGTGGTGCAGCTGGCTTAGCTACTAAGAATTTGCGGTTGTTTTCTTATTTTCTATTTCAATTATTTCATAAATATTGCCACTAATTACATATTTACAATTTTTGAAAATTTGGTCACAACAGCAACAATTACAGTCGAGGTACAAATAGCAACATAACCCAATATAGATGTATTCAACAGGTTAATAGTACAAGTCTCTGAGTATGGAAATACACAATGACATTAGACTACAAAATTGCAATATTTTATGCACTCCATGGTTAAAACCTTAGATATTTACTTAAGCCTTCGATAGTATCGTTATTTCATTTCGCACACTTTGGTTACTACTCTTGATGAAAGATCGGCATAAACCTAGCGGCTAGCGTGCTACAACTTTTTTTTTTTGTCCGTTTTCCGGTATATCATAGAAGTAATTAAGCACGATATAACACATGGACTTGCCCAGCCCGGCTCTATTGGCCACCTGATTTCGGCGCGTGACCCAACAAATCCTCATCTTATTAGACGAATTCAAGCTCCGTAACATAATTATTAATGATGGCTTTGACTCTTGATTTTCAGCCAGATTGAGTAACTCACAAAATACCCTTTGTCAAATTTACTTGTCTTACACCCCTAATCAATTGGATTGATCATTATTACCTCTTTCCATTTCACAATTCTTTTATTTAATTTCTTCCATCAAATCCTTAATTCTCCATATTCCCACATCAATTCTTCAAATTCCGCAATCTGAGCTGTTAAATTTTGACTCCCTTCTCTGTTTTTGTTCTCTGACCCCTCAAATTTGCTGAATTTTCCCCATTTTCAATTTTTTTTTTTCTGGATTGATGATTGAAATTGTATTAAGATGTAATTAATTTTAATGGGTATTTGAGAAATTGTTTGATTTTAGTTGGAAAAGAAAGAAAAATGAAGGATTTTGCAGGAACACCAGGAACTATAACTGGGCTTTTTTTAAGGATTGCTCAATTTATGTTTGCTGCAGGTGCCATTGCTTCTATGGCATCCACTTCTAGCTTCTTCAATTTCACTGCTTTCTGGTATTTTATTCACTTCTTATTTCTCCCTTTGTTTGGATATAGTTGTCAAGCTATTATATTATTTCAAATTACACTATCGACATAACTATTAATTCTAGACGGAACGAGTATAATTTACGTGTTTTGTTCAAAATTTTGTAAATTTGTTGTTGGATTGGCATATCTTGTTGTGGTTTGGCTTATTTTGTAAAACAAAACAAACCCCTTTACATATGATTTTTTTCATTAACATTGTCTTTGAGTTTTTTGTCCACTATAATTGTTTAATTTGTTATTTGATTAGCATTTATTTTTCCTATCCAAAATGGGTTTTTGGTTTCTGTGTATTATGTAGAGTATAGGCTTGTCCTGCATAATTTTTAAAGATGACTGAAATGATTGTATACAATACAAGAAACATTTCATGTGTCATGTTTATGAATGATGCTCATGTATGAAGTAGCTAGCTAGTTGGTTTGCGAAATTCACAAATTTGATAACATAGTATCTGTTCCTTGGCTGTAATTTCCATTTATTAGAGCATTTATACATCTAATCCCTTGCTTTTGGTGCTTATTTCAATGGTCATGAAACTTTGTTCTTTAATCTTTACTTAGGACAACTTCCAATCCAACGATTTCCATTCCTTATTTCCCTTTCGATTCAAGACTGGAGTCTCTCTTGGCCATCTATGTCAAATTCACAAAAGTCTTATAGACTGACTTTTGGAGATTCCATTTGTTTCTGAAAACCAAAACTAGTGGTACTAAAAACTAAGAACAAAGTATGATTCTTCTTAGCCGAGAACAAATTAAGTATAATGTCTAGACAGGAGAAAATCTTGTTGTTGTAACAAAATATTTGAGGATTTGAGCACAAAGTTGCAAATTGTAAACCTGTGTAGCACTTCATTTGTAGGACTAGATTCACCTGGAGCCTTAATTCATATTTTGTACATTACAAAGTATGACAGTGCAAACAGAAACTCAAGACTTTGATCATTAGCTGAAAAAGCCTTTTTTAGGAATTTCTGGTAATCTGCCAGTTAACCTGTAAGGCTGTAAGTCCAAGGAAGAACACAAAAACTTGTACAAGTAGAAATTTATTCACTATTAAGCTTTCTGTTGTATAATGTCTTACTCTTTGTGCTTTAGATGGTTCCTCCAAAGCTATAAAAATGTACAGCTTGCCTTTCATTCCCATAATTTCCATTTTATAAGAACTTATATGCTTAATTTCTTCAGATAACATCTTTCAGAGAGCGTTTTTGGTGATTATTGAACTTCTGTAAGCTCAGAAATTGTCTTTGGGAAATAAAATAGAACTAATTATAATATCTCATCCATGTGTTTGAAGGGTTTGGGATGAATGACTGAAACACGTATTGCCTTTGCAGCTATCTCATAGCTTCTATGGGTTTGCAAGTAATCTGGAGCTTAAGCCTCGCGTTGATGGATGCCTATGCCCTTGCAAAGAAAATAGTGATTCATAATCATATCCTTGTCAGCCTTTTTGTAATCGGAGATTGGGTAGGCCTTCCTCTACTTGGTACTTCGTGAATTTTACTCCAACTCTTTGTTTCTAATCCTGAACCTGTGTGTGTCAGATATTTGAAACTCTTCATTTTAGACCAATAATGTGGACATTTGTTTTAATAATCTTGCCGAGTTTAACATTTGGACACAAATTTATGACTAACATGAGTATGAGAGCCCGAGTTATATATTCAGGGCCTAGTTGGAAAAACATGAATGCAAGTATGTTAGTTGCAGAGAGTTCTTTTTTGCATTAGTAAAAGCTTAGGTATTAGCAAAAAGAACATAGAAACAAGCATATAGTCTTTTCAGGTCCTTAAATTTGAAGCTGTTAGTAACTTTTCTCCTTACCCTCTACCCCCTCCTTTGTTAACAGATAGGATTTGTTATTTTGAACGATGAACATTCAATTTGAAAGATAGTTATTAAGGAATAGAGAGGTCAACATAAGTTGCATAAACCCAAAATCTGGGTGTTACAAGACGTGATTTTGACAATGGGTGGTGTACTGTACTGTTAACAGGTAACAACTACACTGTCTCTTGCAGCAGCTTCTGCATCTGCAGGAATTACAGTCCTGTACTTCCATGACATCGGAGGCTGTACTGTTGTGGCAGAATGCTTCAAATACCAGATAGCAGTTGCTTTTGCCTTTCTAAGTTGGCTTACAGTGTTCATCTCGTCTCTCATCATGTTTTGGCTTCTAGCAGCAAGCTAGCGAATCTTCTTGCTTCGGATCCATTACCATGAAATGGAGCATAGATTACAATGTATATAGAAACAAGATGAGATCTAAGTATAGAGAGATTATTGGTTCTCATTGTTAATTTTTTTTTCCCCTTATCAGATCATTTTTGTATATTTGTGAAGTGTGTATAGCTCGTCAATTGATCACACCTGTAATCCAGAATGATGTACCCATGGTATTACCCAATTTTGAGAAGTTGAATGTAACTTTTCGCTTCGAAATTGTTCGTATCTAAACAAAATATCCCGATGAGATCAATTTTGTAGTTTTTTTTTTTTTTGTCTTTTTTTCACAGTAGTGAAATATGGGTAGGAGATATCTTGATTAAGAAATTTGTTGGCACCCCTTTTTGCAGTGAAGAATTATAGGCTATGTTTTTTTTTTAATTTTTTTTTTTTTATGTCTTATGTCTTCATAGCAAAAATAGTTATGGTGTTTTATATGAAGAGGTATTTGAACAAATGTTACCCCTGATATTTTATGCCACAATGATATTTGGCCCATTTTATGTCAAGTTGCTAAACACATTAAAATACAAAACTTAAGATACTACATAAACTAGATCTAGCAAAGCTAACTTGTATCCAATCTCTTAATTGGTTTGAATTACACGACTTAAATTGCACACGAGATTAATTATTATGCTAAATTGCAAATGCTCTTTTGATATACAATTATGTATGTGATGACCAATCTTTCAATTACCCTATATTCTTGAATTGATAAAAACATTAGCTTAAATTCAACATCATTAACCACCCAAAAATGTCAAATTTCACTTATTATTTAGAGACAGATGGAGTGTTTCCCTATACAATGATGAGAATATGATATGCTATACTATCTCTCTAGGGGAACCAGACTACCAAAATCCTTATGGATAAAATCCGAGAATTTTAAAAAGAATGGCTTACACAAAACTTCTGAACATTGCTAGCCTATCTACAAGTCTAATGCAATGCTTCTCTATCATATTCTCCAGAATGATTCCTAAACACAAACTTTTGTAGCTATGATGCACAGCTTATCACAGGATGCTCCACACGAAAACTCGTTATCATGACTCTTATGACATAGATGGCCTGGAACAGGATGCTGATAATGAAATGACATTCAATGAGGAATCATATGAGACTGAATCTACCTTTCTTACTGCATATAAAGGAGCATGCAGCTCAAGAAGCTTTAATCTTAACTCGAAACTCAGCGAAAACAGAAGTAAAGCAATGGTTATGAGTAATTGTAACATTTGGAGCTTTTACTTCAGGTTTAAGCCACACATGTTTATGATCCTATCACAGATAGGCTGGACTTTACTGTATTTCATCACTGAAGCATCCTTCAATAATGGAATGAATCCTTATGTTTACATAACATACCGCCATGTCGTTGCTGGGGTGGTGATGTTCCCCTTTGCTTATTTCCTTGAAAGGTTGTTTATTTTTTTTACTTTTATTTTTTTATTTTTTAAAAATTTTCTTTTCTCATTTACATGTTCATGATATTGCATCTACGTCGATTTCATGCTGTATGTATACTCTAGTGCATTACATGCCTATGAATTTTTTTCTTCTATATCATGCAGACAAGCAAGGCCAAAGTTGACAGTAGCTCTGATGGCAGAAATATTTGTGCTCTCCCTCTTCGGGTAAGCCTACAAGAGTAATGGTATACAACCAAACATTGTAAGATATAATTTGTCGTAGTTGCAGCTAGCATGTTATGTGAATGACATCCTAAAAGGGAGCATTCGGAGTAACGAGAATATATAAGTGCATAACAATTATCGGACCTTTAAATCCAACAGCATAATCCAAAACTACCTCCAAATATTTCCAAAATCCCCCTGCTTTTTCAAGGTGTTCTCATTAGGTGCAAGTGACAATTTCTCACATTTGCATTTTACAAGAAGGCATTCGGTCACTTGTTCTTCATAATTAATATACATGAGACATATTCATAGATATCATACACTTACAATATGTCATGATAACATGATATACAATACAGAAGTTCACAGTATAATACTACACATCTTCAAAAGGAAACAAATGATAAATTTTGCTAATTTTGGCAGGGTGGGATTGACACTTAACATGTATTTTGCAAGCTTAAAGTATACTTCACCGACATTTGTTGCTTCAATGATCAACACAATAGCTTCCTTAACTTTTGTGATTGCAGTTGCACTCAAGTGAGTAAAACCTTTTCTTTATAAATGACATATCCAAATTCTTAACATTCGAAAAATTGTTCTTGCAAATTGTATTTTTTAACTTTAGACTATAACTATCCAGGATGGAGGTTCTTGATATATGGAACCCTCGAGGAGCTGCAAAGGTTCTCGGAACCTTAATTTCCCTGGGAGGTGTCATGGCCATGACATTGTACAAGGGATCTGTCATTAAAAACATCTGGAAACCTCTGCTACATATTCAAGGAAGTACAACAACTAACGAAAACAGGTTGATAGGTTCCATTTTAACTGCAGCTAGTTGCCTATCATGGTCCATATGGTACATCATGCAGGTTTGAGTTATATTCCAGGGACGAGTCTTTCAGTTTGGTTTTGGGCTTGTGTGGGTTTGGTTACATTATGAGTCAATTTCGACAGTTCTAAAAAAAACAAGTAATTGCTCACATAATTAACACTCATGAAATTTGATAATTTCATTTGCTAGTCAATACTCAAATCAGCTGATGCTGCCATTCTTTATCTGCTAATTACTAAATGCCTAATAATAGCCTAGGACACACGACACTTTTTGTCCATAATGAATCACAGAAGAGTTATCCTTCAACCAGATATGAATATATGATGTATCCTTATGAGTCTATATGCTTACTGATAACTATAGGCCTTTACTCTGAAACGATATCCTGCACGTCTGTCACTGACAACATGGATGAGTTTCATTGGTGCTGCACAGTCAGCCATTTTTACTGCATGTGTTCAGCGTAAGCCAGCAGCTTGGGCAATCGGTTTCAACATTGATCTCTTGTCTACCGTTTATGCTGTAAGAACTGTTGTTGATACAACCTTAGACTATACTGAAGTATGATCATATACTAACATGTACTCAATATATTGCATGCAGGGAGTAGTTTGTTCAGGCTTAATCGTCTTCCTTCAGTTGTGGTGCACAGAAGAAAAAGGACCTGTTTTTGTGACCATGTTCAACCCTCTTTCAACAATACTTGTTGCCTTATTAGCATATTTTGTCCTTGGAGAAAAGCTTTACACTGGCAGGTAAACTAAATTGATATTTGCTCCCAGAAACTGATTTTGATACAGCATTAAGGCTTACTTTGACTGATCAAACCTGACATTGCTGATTCACAACTGTTTTGTTATATGAACTTCGTGATTTTAAGTAAACAAACTGATGTTTTTCTCATTAGAACTTATTTTACAACCTTAAAATGAGTTGAAAAGAGCAAGGTCTGGTTAATACAGAACAAATGATATAATAAGAAGCAGAATATATATAGAGCAAATGATATAAGGAGAAGATTAATAGTTTCTCAATCACATGTTCAGCATAATGGGGGCAGTTATTGTTATCTTTGGTATGTACCTCTTAATGTGGGGCAAAGAAGAAGCACAGACAAACATAGCCGGGATCTACCTAAACTATAAAGACTCGAAAAGTTTAAAACCAGAGGCATTCAGCACAGAAAATGGCGAAGAGGTGACAACAGAGCCATAGACACTAGAAAAGATGGCTGTGGTGCAATTACAAAGACAGATAGAAGCTGGGAGTAAAGAAATCCATCAGTCATCTTCAAACTCGCCAAGAATAAGCAACTATATAAACTGTCAATAGTATAAAGATGCCTATTATGCTTGCATGAATTACGAAAGATAGGATCAGTGCTCCCAGGTTAAGCTGAGTCAGTATTTGATTCTCTTCTCTAGGTTAATTAACATTAGCCCTCTGTTGGACTAATCCTAAAGAAATATGCCTGTAATATTCTGTAAAGTACTTCGTATTAGTTTTGGCTGCTGTTTGACTTGAAAAGTTCACTATGTAAAAAGGATATGATCTCAACCTATCAGTCTGCTTGCATCTATATAAGCTTGACAGTATTGTAAATCATATTAACCAGTGTAATCATCCATGAAGACTGTTTGGTCCATTTTCCTCTAATTTTTGCGTTCAGTAGTCACACAAGAGTTCAATTTCAATGGTGTAATGATTTTGTGGAATTGACTCCCAAAATCAAGTTTAATGGGAATTTGTCAATCAAAAAACATAACATTCCCAACTTCTAGTATGCAAAAAAGTTCCAAGTTACCTTAGGAGTGCATCTCCTGGTTTCTGTCTCCGTGCAGATTTAATCATCATCAACCATGTCATCTAATCTTTTCAAACAAAGCAAATTTTTCAAAAATTTTACTTCATAGGCAGGTGTCTGGCTTCATTGCACAAGGGATCTGTCATAGGGAAAATCTTATATCTCTGTCTATATATAATATATATATATAGAACTATAATTAAGATCTAGATAATTAAAAAATGAACAACTGGTTGAATGATTCAGAAATATCGTTGAAATTTTATATTATAATCATAAGTTCATGAATCATGCATATAACAATAACAATTAATTCTGTTTGAATTCACCAGATTAGGCTTCATGATAAAAGCCAACTTAAGTAGATAGCTACAGGCTTTGACATAAATTTTTTATATACAACTCCTGCCGACCAGTTACGTATGTCAGAGTTCTTGACAGTTGACATCAAATGATACAAAAATAATACACTTGGGTACACCTACCTTTAAGTAAACTCGTAATGCAACTAAGAATTCGTGACCTTCCCTCCCCCAGACAAAAAAATGGCCATGGACTTTTTTCTAGAATACAACTTACATCACATATGTAGCAGGGAATGTGGAATGATTGTTTCAGGTCAATCAAGCTTGATTCAGTCTAAGCAAAGGAAAAAAAAAAATGAAAAGGTTTATGACCATATTTGATCCCGCTGCAAAAGCTTTTCCTGGTTTATCAGGAGGTGAAATCTCGATGATATGAATCTAGACAGCAAAACAAGCAGAGAGAAAACAGCAGGATTACATTCATACGAAATAAAAAAAAACACACAGGAAATAAACAATAGGAGTCTTAATTAGTGTACTTACATAGTCTAGCAACACTCTACGGCATTTAAGCCATGAGCCTCTGGCTATTCAAATCTAAATTAAGGAAGAAACAAGTTCACCAACATTATATACATTCAAATAAGCAAAGACAAAACTTGAGACAAATGTCGCAGAATTCTTGTTGAGAAGAAATCTTGCACATCCACTTAAGCAGCAGGAGGCCTGAGTTCATGGTCACGAGAAGTATCACGAGTAGCTGGTGGTAGATAATGCCACATAGGGTACATACCATAACCAGGGTAAACAGCCATCTTATTTGGTCCAGCTTGATAGGCCGGTGGATAAGGAGGAATCATTCCAGGACCAGGCATGCCAGACATTGCTTTCATATGCAGCTCCATCTTTTCTTTTTCTGCCCTCAATGTCGATTTCTCATCACGAAGTTCATTCTTTTCAGCCTATAGTAGGAAGCTAAGTTTAAGAACAAAACAGCAAAGGAGCTACTAAAAAGTGAAGATTAAAACATATGGTAAATATGATGATTAAATGAAGTCACAAAAAACTCTTGTACAACATGTAGGTTATACAAGAGTTTTGTAACCTTTTTTTTGCAACTTCTTCTTCAATTATAAACTTATAGATGACTGAAGAAATAAAATATAACGCAATGCTCCAAGCATATACAATGTGTGAGTAGGGAAGATTAAAGTTAAATAAGCTTCAAAGTCCTGAATCTCAGAAGATAAAGGATTTAACTAGAGAAGATCCACAAATGGAATTCCATGGAAAAGGTTCCGATATTCTAAGAAAATTTGTGTCCGGAACCAGCTTAGAACTTGACAAGAAGCTTCAAGTAATAGGGAAAAAGAAGTACTCACCTTTAAACTTTCAATTTCCTCTTGCAGCTTTTTATTCTCATCTTTAAACTCCTGATTTTCGATCCTTAGCTGCTTCACAATTCTTATAGCATCAGATAACAAAGCCAATTTGTCAGCTTTGGCAGCCCTTCCAGGTTCCAAAACAGAGCTCAGGTTTAAAAAGCTGCAGCAGGAAGTAAAATGAAATTCGATATTGTTACCACCAAAAGAAATATCCCTAATATGTCCAGTTAAGGTGTTAATTCAAGGAGTTAGTAATGAATCTTTCGTGTAATTTGGTGAGAAAAATTCTACATGGATGTCTAAGGTAATACGAAATACTGTGTAATAAAGATGCTATCAAGCGCGCTGTAAAAGCTTAGTACAAACAGATGAAAAAAATACATCTTCCATACCATGCATCACTTGTTTAATGTTGTTCATTTGTTGAATACAAAATGCTAAACCTAAAAAACAAATAACACAGAAGCAGATTGCATGCCTGTCATTCAACTTTTCCCGTCTTTCTCTCTCACGGCATGCTTTAGTCTTTGTATTGCTGTGGACAGCAGAACGTCCCCTGCAAATCAAGAAGATATTAGAGTTAAGTGATACTACAGTCTAAGCAATCTGTTGATCTGAGTTAATTTTACACCGTAACAACATGAAGCAATAGCAGTTGTCACTGATAGCAAATTCTACCTTTTCTTAGGGCATTCCAACTCAGATTCTTGTTCTTGGAAAGCACTACTTGTCTGTGAAAAGTCGATTTCGATGCAAGAACTGCAAGGAAATTTCTTCAGAGTAAGTTCATATGACTTGAACTGAGTTCAGAAATTAATCTAAACCATCTAAGAATAAATGATAAACCATATCTTATGCAGTAAAAGCAAAGTAACACCTTTTCTTGGGGCGTTGCCTCTCAGATTCTTGCTCTTGTATCATACTACCTGTCCTTGAAAAGTCAATTTCGATGCTGGAACTGCAAGAAAGATTTCTCTTAGTTAATTTGACCATAAAAACATAATCTGATCAAAACCAAAACCAAAACCAAATACAGCTAAAAACTAAAAAATAATCAACTTTCTTGTGCAAAATCAAGATTTTTGGTTAGCATTATCCATCTTCAAACACTGCTTTACTTTCCTACCAAACTCTTAATTATAGTTAATTAATCAAAGGATAATTACTGATAAAGCTAAGTCAAGAATTCCTATATACATGAAATCATCCAAGCTGCAATCTTTTGCTATGCTTAACACATCAAAAAGTTAAAACACTTTTTTTTTTTAAATGTAGATAACCCCTCTATAAATCTCTAATACATGTTCTAAATTTCTAATATGTTCACCAAGCTTACAAAGAGCAAGATCAATAATCTCAATAGTCATTTTATCTAGCTGATAGAGAGCATAAAGGCAACTGTAGACGAGATTTAATCTCGGGTTTTACATTTTAACACCCACCCCCTCCACCCACGCGCACACAAAGATTTTAGCCGACTAAGGCCACGTTCTTTTAAGCTTCTGGGCAGAGAAGAACAGAGCGTAATCGCGTAATTCCCATCCTATACAAGAGGCAAAGGTCACTTGGAAGTAAGAAAAATTGAAACTTCATCATAAACCAAGTATCCCTCAATTAATCGAATACTAATTTCTCTACTTCAATCTTCTCCAAAAAAGAGTGGGTTAAGCAAAAAAAAATAAAAATGAAAAACAATTATTTCCTACCTAATTCTTAGCATGAAGAACTAATTTAACTATAACTAAAATTAAATTAAATCACCAAATGAGGTTGAATTCAATGAGAAATTAACAATAAAGGGTATTTCATAAAAATTGAAATTACCTGGGATCAACCCAAGAAAAATTAGGGGAAGCAACATCATCAATGAAACAATCAAGGGGTAGATCCCAAGCAGAATCATCAAAAGAACCCATCTTTTTGAATTGGGGTTACAGCAGAAAAATCAAATTAATCACTAAAAAAAATCCAGAAAATTTTACTGAAGATTAAGTATTTATTTGTTCCCAATCATAAGAAAAGCAGAGAAAAATGACAAACAGAAGAAAAAGGGGGGCAGGAGGATGAATCAGAGATATGAGGGAAGAGATGGGAGGCCAGTTAGAATCTAACACGTGGTAGGATTTTGATTGGTGGGTGTTTTCAACGACAAGTGGAGTAAGCACTTCATTTTAGGACCATAAAACAAAGTTAATTAAAATGTTTAATAAAATTTTAAATAGTTACAAGTTTGTCATTAGTGACATGGGTGAAATAATGACAGATAGAAAATCTTAGATATAAGACCATTCTCAGCAGTGAGGAAAAAAAAACCTTTCAATCTCTCTCTACCCACTTTCTCACTCCTCCCATACAATTTCTCTCATCAAATGTTTTTTTCACCACAACAATGAGGAGAAAAAAAACCTCTCATCACTTTCTCCTCCACTATTTTTTAATTTATTTTTTAATTACGTTTAAAAATAATTTAATAAAAATTTATAATTACGTTTAAAAATATTAATAATACTAACTGGAAATTTTTTTTATAAGAAATAATTATAATAATAATAATAACAAGAAGAAATTGGGAAAATATGTTAATTTCTCTAATTTATGGGTTTTTTTTGAAAGTATATCAAAATGCATGTCTATTTATAGAGAAAAAAATTTTATGGTCGTTGGTGAATTTTTTTTTTTTTTTTAAAATAATTACAACGGTTATATTTCAAATACAAAATATAACCGTTGTAAAAAAACAACAAAAGCAGTGGAGGCCACATGTTACTGTTCATCACCAAAAGCCCTCAACTCTTGAGGGTTTTTATTTTCACTCATCGGTGAGTGTTTTTTCATTCACTGATGTAGTGTTCGGATTTTTTTTTTACACCCTTATTTTTACTCGTGAGGGCTTTTCTCCTCACTGCTGGGAGTGCTCTAATTTCATTCTTTTCATTTGTTAGGTTTTGTGGTATATTACCTATGATCATCTTGGTGTTCGTTGTCTTGTTGAATTTATTTAGTTTTTTCGTTAATTTTTATATCATATCAAGTGTATGTTTTAATGTATCAAGTTGATTGTCTATGGAGTAACATATAACTTCCTATGAGAAGTTTCATTTGTCAAAGGAGGGCAGTTATTATGTTTAGTCAAAATTGTGCATTAACGTTGTCTAATCAAAC